ATTTTTGACTTTGGGGAGGAAAAGGTGGAATTTAATGTTCTTGATGAGCCAAAAATCATTGAATGCAAGTCAATTTTGCACATCGACCCTAATCTCAAGGTGACACATGATGAGTATTTGCATTTGAAGAGTCTATGGGGTGATGAGATCAAACTCGCGGATCAACCAGGATGAGCACTCCATAACCAGGTTAGGTCGAGCTAGCGAAGTTAAACTTAGCGCTTCATGGGAGGCACCCCATGTTATCTTTTATTTCTTTCATATTTATTGCTTTCTAGTTTAATTTTATTGCTTTCTAGATTCGTTTTTTTTTTTGCTTTCTAGTTCGTGATTATTTTATTGCTTTTTAGTTTTCTCTTTTCTCTTGTTCTACTTTTCTTTTATGTTGCATCAGGGACGATGCAAAGTTTTAAGTGTGAGGGGGAGGAATCATTAATTTGGGGATATTTCTAAATTTTAAAATTTTTGCTTTTGCTTGGATGACTCATATGCTATTTTTGGTGAATAAGTTACTTGTCTTAGCATGCAGTTACAATTATTCTCTCTTGTTGGTTTGTGGTTTGTTTTAGTGGTGCTTGCTGCATCTCAATTTGTGATGGATGATTTGAGGTGTAACACATATTTGATCTATTCCCTTGCCAATAGCTTTGTTAACCACTTAATAATTGGATTAATTCTTGATCTTGTGTTTTGCATTGCTAGTGAAGGCTTATGTGAGATTCCGGTCATGGGTGTTTTGCTAGAACTTGCCTCATTACTCCCTAAGTGATGTCTAAGTTTTGCATGTTTTGAAGTGATTTAGGCCATTTTTGTTTAGCCATACCCTTTAAACCTGTCCCTATATATATTTTTATCCTTCGTGTCCCCATTGTGCCTTTTGTTTGTTCAAATAAGTGCTAAGCACTTATCCCCTCTTTGTGATTGTTTTTCTTTGATTTACCCCATTATTATAACCCTTAGCCCGTGGCCAAATATTTCCCTTCCACCCTTGAGAGAATGAAACTTTTATCTTTATCTTTTCCGTAAGAAGAGTTTTATGGAGTTGTGCTACGAAAAAAAAGCAGCTAGTGTTACAAATGTTCAAGTGTGGGGGTCATGAAAGTTTGGATTAAAATTATCTTGCTATATCCAAAAGAAGTCCAAAGACAAAGAAAAGAATGAGAAAAAAAAAAAAAAGATTGAAAGTTTTTGAGTTTGGATCCCCACTTTACCAAAGAGTTGCTAAGTTCTTAAAAGAAATTTGCTCCTTGGAATTATGATTATCTCATCTCTTCTAAATTTTGAAAAGTTTAGATAAATTGCGACATTCTCTCTTTTTGATTAATTTTTCCATACCACTTCTTTGGTAGCTATCACCTGTAGCCCCATTACAAGCTTAATGAAGTCCTATTTGATCTTAGCATGCATTCTTAGATTTGATCGAGGGGAGTATGAAAGGCAAGCTTATGGGATCTCATTCATGAACCGTGTCTTGCATAATCTCAACGGAGTATTAGTGCACACTTGATCCTCACACACTTTAAATTCTTGGTGCTCGGTTATTGGCTTGGAAATGGGTCTCTTATGTGCCAAACTAATTTGATTCTTGAAGCTTGTTGTTTTGTAGCAAGTTGGTTGGTGGTTTGAAAGGTTGTGCAAGAGAGAGCATGAGTAATTTGTATGTTTTGACTTGTGATTTTATTCCTTGGTTTTGCTTGAGGACAAGCAAAAGCTTAAGTGTGAGGGGGTGATGTTATCACATCTTTGCTTGTTTTTATAGTTATTTTGAATCAGCTTAGTATTTAAGTTCTTTAATTTTGCTTATTTAAAACATGTTTTCCTTGCTATTATCATTTAATTATGGTTCACACTTGTTTTGAATGTTTTACGGTGTTTGTTAGTGTTTTTGAACCATTGTAGGTTAATTCTATGAGCAAGGGAAGTTCAAGGATGAGTTTGGAGCAATTTTGGACAAGTCCGGGACCCAGAGGATTCGACGCGTCGAAAATTTCCAGTAGCATCACAAAACTGAGCCAAAGAGGCTCGACGCGTCGAGCCTCAATTCGACGCGTCGAGAAAGACGCGAGCAAAATTCTGCGCGAAACATAATGGCGCTGAAAGTTGGCATTTTCCTTTGCTAATTAATTTAGAAGATTCCTATTTCATCTCAACTTTGTACCCACTATAAAATCCCTCCTTCCTCAACCCTAACAGGAGACGGAGAGAATTCAGAGATTCTTGGAGACAAGAAGGAGAGAAATCAAGAGCCACAAGTTGTCTTGGGAAGCAAGAAGAAGACCAGGGAACTTGCCAATCAATCATCTAAGTAATTGTTAGGATTAGCTCTAATGAATAAGTTAGTAACCAGTGCTTGATACAACCACTTCCCTGTGGATCGATAACTCGTACTCCGAGAATTATTTGTTTGCAAATATACTACGCATCACCTTCACTTTTCACACCCTTAAAGCTTCTCGTAAAGCTCTCCTTCAACTTCAACTTCAAGAACACACCAAAAGACAACAAAGATTCTATCTTTTAGAAAAGACACCTAAAAAGGTACTAAAAACACTAAGGAATCAAGGATCTTACCCTCCCTTATGCTCAAGGTCAAGAAAGTTTGAATCTTGAAGACCAACTTGAAGAATCTAGGATTGCCCAAAACTTGGCTTGAAGAAGAAGCTAACAACTTTCTAGAGAGAAGGTGGAGCTTTTGTGTGTAGGGTGTTAGGGAAATGAAATGAAGGATGACTCTAAGTTAGCTTGAGGCACAAACATAAGGTGAAAAGACTTCTTTGCCCTTACCAAAGTGGGAAGAGTAAGGAGACAAGGGAACAATTCATAAAGCATAGAGTACAACACTTTGACTTGAATTGACTAGTCAATTTCTAGTCCTCCGACTATTGAATTTTCAGGATTTTAGGAATAAATTACCAATTAAGCTAGGATTAATTATCTAATTAATCCTTAAATAGATTTTGGATTTATGGGGTGTCACAACTTGACTATCAAAAATGTTAATTTAGTACCTTGATTATGTAATTTCTATCAGTTTTGGTCATGCCGGCCAAATTACCGGCGAATTTTCACCGGAAAAACTTAAGTCAACAAATGTATTGAATTGAAAGGGGCAAAATAGTCTTTTTTGATCCACTACCGGAGAAGGGGTTTGTGCGACTTAATTTCTGTTGAATTCCTTCCTGTTGAATTCCCTCACCAACGCCATCAACGAAAGAACCCCTTCCGGTTGAATTCCCTTAATGTTTAAAAATTCATTTAATTTCTTTTCTTAAAATCATATTTTTCCGTGCATTAATTTTCATAGTTTGTTTGTGCGACTGAAGCCTGGCAGCTGAGGAATGCCCGACGGTGGCGCTGCCGTCGCCGGCGGTGGCGGGGTGGTTTTCGGCGACGGTTATGTCGCTGGAAATCAGAAATTTTCCGGAATCATCGAGATGGTCTCAGGAAGGTTAGAAGAACAACTACTATATGCCGACTCTATGCGGAGGAGTTGCAGCAAACTTGCGAATATCCGTAGTGGTTGTTTTATCCCAGTGTACGACTTGGTGAGGAACATTGATTTTGTAATGGTTGTTTTATGGGATGATTCTACTGACATCCATGACTGCATGTTGGAGGCGGATTAGAGAGTGGAACTGTTAGCCTGCATTGTGTTATTGGAAGACGATTTGGTGCATTTTTTCGGTCATTTTGGTTTGAGAATTCTCTGTCCATATCTTGCTTTGCTAGTGATCATATGCTCTCTGCCATTCAAGAGTTGTTCTCAGTGGGTTCCATTCCTTCGGAGAGGAGCAGGTCGACGAGGAAGGCGGTGGCGACGGAGATGCGTCGACGAATCGTCCAGAGAAGACGATCGGATTAATTGACTGTGGTAGAAAGACGAAATTACCCCTGAAATTAAAGATTAATTGGCTAATTAAATTTTTCCGGTGAGATTTAGCCGGCAATTTGGCCGGAGTGACCAAAATTGATAGAAATTGCATAGTCAATGTACTAAATTAACATTTTTGAAAGTCAAGTGTTACAATTAACACAACTCCAATAGTCAGTGGACTAAAATTGAAATTTTCTCATATAATATTTATAGTAATCTTTAAATTTTTCATTTATTTATTTTCTTAAAAAAATATTTTATTTTGTACAAGGTTGCAAAACACGTTAGGCGCACCCTAGGGGCCGATTTTTTTTTTTTAAAATTTAAACTAAAAATTTTAAAATTCAATAGTAAAACATAAGGTTCTTCTAGTTTTTTCTTACAAATTATTTACGTAAGGGTTGTAAAAAAGTTTTGAATATTGTTGAAACCATCTAAATACATAAAAAATTAAAATTAAGAACAAAAGAAGAATTTTTTGGAGAAATTAGAGGGCCAAACCGCCTTTGGCTGCTTGTGGTGTATAGATCTCGAAAAAGTACGCAATTTCAAAAAAAAAAAAAAATATCCAAAACGGATAACCGAGTCAAAAGTTATGTCTTCCCGAACGTTTAACACTTTACAACGCAAGGGTTGAGGGTTCGGGTTTTGGGGTAGCGCCGGGGTCTCCGGCTGCTGTTGTGGTTGAGGGGGAGGAGATGGGTTTGCGGGTTGATCCAAAACGGAGGAGGGGATTAGGGGGGTGAGGTGGTGAGCGAGGCGAGGGCAATGCAAGTGGAAACAGTACATAGCAATTTGGTGGGACCTGGGGACCAGGCCCTCCACTCTCAATGAGTACCTTATTTTGGAACTGCCGTGGCTTGGGCAATCCACGGACAGTTCAGGAGGTGGTGGACTTAGTGTCCAAGAAGAAGCCCGAGTTCGTTTTTTTGATGGAAACTATGGTAGATAGGAGTCATGCAGAGAGGCTACGTGTAAAACTGGGATTTGAGGGATGTTTTGCGATTGATAGTGATGGTCAGAGGGGTGGAATGTGCTTTCTTTGGGCTAAGAACAATGGTGCACGCTTAATTAAGTATTCACACAATCACATTGATCTGGAGGTGTCATTGCCTGATAAGCCGCTATGGAGGTTGACTGGGACAGAAGAAGGGCTGCATGGGATTTTCTAAGATCTCTCAGGGCGGTTTCTGAACTTCTTTGGGTGGTTTTGGGGGATTTCAATGATTTATTGATGCAGTCAGATAAGAGAGGGAGGTTGCCACATCCTGTTGGTTTGATTGAGGGGTTTGCTGAAGCATTGGACGACTGTGGTTTGATGACACTGCCCATGATTGGATACCCTTACACGTGGGAGCGTGGGAAAGGGACTGCTCGCTGGGTTGAGGAACGCTTGGATAGGGTGGTGGCGAATATGGACTGGCTGCAGGACTATGATAGGGCGAGGTTGTTTAATATTCGAACTGACTCGTCAGATCATACTGCGTTATTCCTGGATATAGTTGGGGTGGAACATGTGTTGAGGCCCCGGGGATTCCGGTTTGAGAATGCATGGCTTCTGGATGTGGTTGCAGGGAGGTGGTGGAGAGGGAATGGGCTAGTACCCCGGGTTTGGCGTTGCAGGCCAGGCTTGGTGTGTGTGGTCGGGGTCTGAGGTGGTGCGGAGGTGATCGCCATCATAAGTATGGAAAACGGATAGAGGGTATCAAGAAGGAGATGAATGGCTTACGGGGTAGTCATGATCCTGCTTCTTTGGCTCGGTTTAGGTAGCTTGATGAGCAGTTGGGTGTTGTGCTAGCCCAGGAGGAGGCTTTCTGGAGGCAATGTGCTAAGCAGCACTGGCTTCAAGGAGCTGACAGGAATACTAAGTTTTTTCACAAGTATGCTTCACACCGGAAGAAGAAGAATATGATCCAGAGACTTAAGGATGATGTTGGTGTATGGAGAGAGGGCAGCTCCTTGGACTCGGTGGTTACGGACTATTATAAACATATCTTTACCTCGGGTGGGAATCCAGGGAATTTCAATGTGGATACCATGCGGTCTTGTGTAACCAGAGAACAGAATGATGATTTGCTGCAACCCTTTGAGCCGGAGGAGGTACGGAGTGCTTTATTTTCTATGGCCAAGGATAAATCTCCAAGACCGGATGGCATGAACCCGGGCTTCTATCAGGCCTTCTGGGATGTTATTGGTAAGGATGTTTCTGATTTCATGCTTCATTGTTTGTCTGAGAAGTCTTTTCCTGCTAATTTGAATGATGCCAATATTGTTTTGATACCCAAAAAATGCACCCCTGTGTTTGTGTCTGATTTAAGGCCAATAGCTTTGTGTAATGTGCTGTATAAGATAATGGCTAAAATGATTGCTAATCGTATGAAACCATTGCTTGAGGGTATGATTTCTGTTTCGCAAAGTGCCTTTTTACTTGGTAGATTGATCTCAGATAATATACTTATTGCGTCTGAGGTTGGCCATTATTTGAGGAGGAAACGGTTGGGGCAGGTTGGTTCGGCGGCCTTAAAACTTGATATGGCGAAAGCATATGACAGGATGGAGTGGCCGTTTGTACAGCAGATGTTGACTGGTTTGGGATTTGATGACAGATGGGTTCAGCTGGTAATGATGTGTGTGCAAACAGTACGGTACAGGGTGCTAGTCAATGGGAAGCCTTCTGAGGAAATAGTGCCCACGAGGGGGCTTAGACAAGGGGATCCTTTGTCCCCTTATTTGTTTATAATCTGTGCTGAGGGTTTATCATTATTGTTGCAGGACACTCAGGCAAAAGGGCTTCTACATGGTTGTAGAGTGGCCAGGGGAGCACCATCTATCTCACATATGCTTTTTGCAGATGACAGTTTGCTTTTCTTTAAGGCTAACTTGCAGGAAGCATTGGAGGTGAGAAAATGTCTGGGAGTGTAACACCCCAGATTTTCAAGACTTTTAAAACTTATATAATAAACATAGAATCTCATTAAATCCCAAAACACGATACAAAGAATACGGGGTGTTATGCCACACCCGAGCTAGAGAACTCGGGTGCACAGGCTAAATTCTAAAACCTCAATCAGTATCAATACTAAATCATGGCACGCAGGCCAAAAGGGAAAACTATCTAAGCTACGCCCCAAGCTTCTAGCGCGCTCCAGTGATCTACTCGTCTGTGCCTGAAAGCCAAATATATCTGTTCAGCGAGAGATGCTGGTAACCCACTCCAACGCGTTGAAATACATTATAGATAGATATTTATGTAGATATACGAAAACCGTTTTGAAGCGTGAAGATATATCCTACGAGACTCTAGCTTTTAAAACAGGGATAGACTCGACAGATAGAGCTAAGCACAGACAACAGTTATACCAAGCATATACAGTTTACAACGGGCAAGACAGGTAAAGATAAGCACAATTAATAATCATAACCCAACATATACGATTCCCAGTATAGATCCCATAGTCACATCCCCAAGACACTCATAACAACAACTCATCCATATTTCATCACATAGCACACTTTGTTGGCGCCACAGGACCAATCGCATGCCCATACATGAGGGTCAGCGCATATAGCTCTGACACGGCCCCGCAGCACCCTGCCCCGTATCGCAACACGGAGGGGTCGATCGCAACCGACCGATGAACCGCAGCTCATCATAGTTTGATCGCAACCAAATAGTGGACCGCAGCCCAAGAGTATGTCATCTGACCGCAGCCAGGAAAATGAACCGCAGCTCATGTAGAAACGTTTGATCGCAACCAAACGGTGGACCGCAGCCCAAGAGTGTAAATCTGACCGCAGCCAGCTTCTGAACCGCAGCTCAGGAATGACCAATCCGATCGCAACCGAATTAGGGTAACATGCACACATAACACATAGCAAGCACATGCAACCCACATTAACACATTGGGAAGGGGGAGAAAACGTATAACAAAACCTATGCGTGATCCTTCACATACTAAGAATAAACCTAAGGGGTTTATACTTCTTTCACCTAGGTCAACGGGATACCAATTCAACTAGCATGCAATACATAAGACTCATACAACCTACGAACGGTACCCGAAATATCAAACTAGACATAGGCACGATAGACGGAGTCCGTTGGGACACCACGGGGGTCGAGGGGAACATCAAACGGGGAAGCCAAAATCCCAAGGTGGGGTACAAACCAGCGGGTAGCCGGTGGGTGAGGGGTCACCCGCTGGCGGCACTGTTCCGGGCAGCGGGTGCCCAGCATTTGATGCTAAATTCTAAAACCTCAATCAGTATCAATACTAAATCATGGCACGCAGGCCAAAAGGGAAAACTATCTAAGCTACGCCCCAAGCTTCTAGCGCGCTCCAGTGATCTACTCGTCTGTGCCTGAAAGCCAAATATATCTGTTCAGCGAGAGATGCTGGTAACCCACTCCAACGCGTTGAAATACATTATAGATAGATATTTATGTAGATATACGAAAACCGTTTTGAAGCATGAAGATATATCCTACGAGACTCTAGCTTTTAAAACAGGGATAGACTCGACAGATAGAGCTAAGCACAGACAACAGTTATACCAAGCATATACAGTTTACAACAGGCAAGACAGGTAAAGATAAGCACAATTAATAATCATAACCCAACATATACGATCCCCAGTATAGATCCCATAGTCACATCCCCAAGACACTCATAACAACAACTCATCCATATTTCATCACATAGCACACTTTGTTGGCGCCACAGGACCAATCGCATGCCCATACATGAGGGTCAGCGCATATAGCTCTGACACGGCCCCGCAGCACCCTGCCCCATATCGCAACACGGAGGGGTCGATCGCAACCGACCGATGAACCGCAGCTCATCATAGTTTGATCGCAACCAAACAGTGGACCGCAGCCCAAGAGTATGTCATCTGACCGCAGCCAGGAAAATGAACCGCAGCTCATGTAGAAACGTTTGATCGCAACCAAACGGTGGACCGCAGCCCAAGAGTGTAAATCTGACCGCAGCCAGCTTCTGAACCACAGCTCAGGAATGACCAATCCGATCGCAACCGAATTGGGGTATCATGCACACATAACACATAGCAAGCACATGCAACCCAGATTAAAACATTGGGAAGGGGGAGAAAACGTATAACAAAACCTATGCGTGATCCTTCACATACTAAGAATAAACCTAAGGGGTTCATACTTCTTTCACCTAGGTCAACGGGATACCAATTCAACTAGCATGCAATACATAAGACTCATACAACCTACGAACGGTACCCGAAATATCAAACTAGACATAGGCACGATAGACGGAGTCCGTTGGGACACCACGGGGGTCGAGGGGAACATCAAACGGGGAAGCCAAAATCCCAAGGTGGGGTACAAACCAGTGGGTAGCCGGTGGGTGAGGGGTCACCCGCTGGCGGCACTGTTCCGGGCAGCGGGTGCCCAGCGGGCAGGTGCCCGCTGCCGGCGAGGCCTCTTTTGGCCGTGGGTAGGTGGGGGACCTTTGTGGAACCCGAAATCATGCTTAGACACTTTCAAACGCAATTGATAACACACGTAGACAATTAACGGATCAAAATCAAGAAACATACGGCACATAACCTATCATGCTTTTCTAAACATAATCAACACCCAATCATGCGAATTCCCACCCAATATACAAAGAATAATACCATACGAATTCCACGATATAACCTAGGGTTCTAATTATTTTTAAATCAACAAGAACACAATTCATCTTCCAAAATCAAGATTCGGTAGGAATATCATATAAATATCAAGATCCTCATATAATCATTAAGAACATCAAGAACACCATATAATCATCAAGAACGTCATATAATCATCAAGAACATCATAATTATCAAGAACCTTTCATCATCAAGATCACCCATGGAATCATCCCACCAATCATCAATAATAATATCACAAATCATCAATACACAATAATATGGGGAAATCCTAAGAGGGGAATCATAGCTATGAAAATAGGTTTTGTTGAGACATGGGTTACCTTTTAGCCTTAATTAATTCCTTGGCTATGAAGGGTCTTTCTTGAAGCTTTTCTTCTTTCTTGATTTCTCCTAGGAGAATTCTTGGAACTTCTTGTGTGGTGAGGGATTATTGTGGTGGGGGGTTCTAGGTGCCTCTTAAGTCCCCTATTTATATATTTAGGAGTCCTAATTAGGAACTAATATTATAGGCTTGCTAATTCTATTCCTTTTAGGGCTAGAGGTTGGGTTTTAGGGGTGAGGGCCCACGGACCATGGTGGGCCTTTTCCCTAATCAATTATTGTAATTTAATTCTTTCTTTGGATAATTGGTTAAATGATTAATTAGTTTTAGGGGTCGTAACACGGGGTGTTACAGGGAGTATATGAGTCTTTCTCGGGGCAAGCGGTTAATTTTCAAAAATCGAGTATTACGTTTAGTCGTAATACGGTTGTGGAAGTTAGGGACCTGGTTGCGAATGCCTTGGGGGTGGTCCAAGCTGATGATTTTGGAAAGTATCTTGGTTTACCTTCTGTTGTAGGCCGGAATAGGAGTCCAGTTTTCGCATATGTTGAGCAGAAGTTGAGGGAGAGGTTTGGTTCATGGAACAAGAGACTGTTATCCAAGGCAGGGAAAGAGGTGTTTTTAAAGAGTGTAGCTTAGGCGATGCCTACCTATACAATGAGCATTTATTTACTCCCTATATCTTTATGTAATGCTTTAGAAAGATTGATGAACAGGTACTGGTGGGGTCAGAGAAGTTCACAGGGTAGTATTCACTGGATGTCCTGGGACCGTATGTGCGTGCCTAAGAAGTTTGGAGGTATGGGTTTTAAACGTCTGCATGAGTTTAATGTTGCTTTGTTAGCCAAGCAAGGATGGCGGCTATTAACCAATCCGGAGTCCCTTGTGGCTCGAGTTTTTAAAGCCAGGTATTATCCTACTTCTTCGTTTTATGAAGCCACAATTGGTGGTAACCCGAGTTATGCTTGGAGAAGTATTTTCGCAGGTCAGGCGTTACTAAAGTCTGGATGCAGGCGAAGAATTGGTAACAGAAGGTCCACAAGGGTTTTGCATCATCCTTGGCTACCTAATGTTATTGATCCTTATGTAACCTCGACCCATCCAGGCTTGAGTCAGGATCTTCTGGTTTCAGACTTGATAGATAGTACCACCAACGGGTGGAATGATGATCTACTTCACCAGTTGTTTGCCCCACGAGATGTATTGCTAATTAAGCAGCTCCCAGTCAGTTTGGAATGTGATGATGTTTGGTTTTGGGACAGGGATCTGAGGGGTTGCTACTCGGTTAAGGATGGTTACAGGAGGTTGGGAGAGGTAAATGGCCCATGTTTGCCTGACATCTTGCCTACTCTCAATAATTTAATTAATAGAAGGGTTGAGTTGGTTAATATTTGCCCAGCATGTGGCTTGGAGGAGGAAGATGTTATGCATGTTTTATGTACTTGTTCTTTTGCTTCACAAGTGTGGAATTTATCTCAACTGCTTATCCCTTCTTTTAACGGCAGGAGTTTTAGGCAATGGACGGAGCAATGGCTTAGCATCTCGGCCACTTATAATTCAGAGGCTCAGGGGAGGATTTGTGGTTTGTTATATGATATTTGGACTGCCAGGAATGAGGCGGTTTGGGATGGTTGTTTGCCGGTGCCATTTGTGGTAGTCAGGAGGTTCACGGCTAGATGGGCTTCTTGGACTGCAACCGAACAGCACCGCAGCACCACACGAGTATCACATGCACCCCCGGGACCGGCTTCGGTACTAGATGATGGAGTGATTTGTCGAGTAGATGCGGGCTTCCATGGTCCTAATCATGCACCAGCTTTTGGTTTTGTTGTACAGGAGATGGATGGAGCTTTTGTGGCGGCAGGGAATGGACCTCTTATTTGCCCATATGACCCCCTCTTGGCGGAAGCGATGGCTTTGTATGAGGCTTTATCGTGGCTAAGGAATAATGGCTTCTCAAAGGTTTCAGTTTACACTGATAGTCTTGTCTTAGTTTCTAGTCTTAATCATGCTAGTTCGTTTCGTACTTATTTTGGTTACGTTTTGCATTCTTGTAATCATTTGTTAGCTGCTATGACTAGATCAGTAGTAATTCATGTTCGTAGGGATGCTATACAGGTTGCCCATGTAATGGCTAAGCATGTAACTGCCTCTTTGGCACGTTCTCTTTGGAGGGATGTTTCTCCTTTTCTTGAGCCTGGAATGGCTAATGCAATATAAGTTTGTTAGCTTTCAAAAAAAAAAAATTAAACGGCCGAACCAGCCGGCTAAGCGGTCTAGGCGGCTGCCTAGCCGCCCAGCCGCGGAGGAGGTTGATTCCGGCCGAATCGTCCGCGGCCGGGCGGCGCCTAGGCGCGATTTTTGCAACATTGATTTTGTAATATATTTATTAAAATTTTATTTTAAAAAATAATTTTAAAAAAAATATTAAAGATAAGCTTACCTATAAACTCTATATATGTTATGTTCCACATCACTTTTATAACAAATAATAACCTTAAGTGGCTCGGACTATCGGACTAGCCCACTAAATTTCAGCTAGCCTGTTTGAATTGGACCACTAAGCTTATTGGACTAATTTTTATCGAACTAAAATATTTCTGGCCTAACTTTAAAACTTTTTTGTTTTAATAGGCCAACCCATCGAGTTCTCAATCGTTATATCCTACACCACGGCGCACATAGCACTGTGCGCCGCGCGCCTCCCAAAACGACGTCGTTTTGGGGTAGTGTTGGGAGGCGCGGTAGGAAGTTGCTGAGATTATGTGTATTTGTTCACAACGTTATGTGTATTGGTTCATACAGTTATGTGTATTTTTTATACAATTATGTACATTCTTTTTATACAATTATGTACATCCGAATCAGAAAATTTGTGTGTATTATGTTAAGAGTTAATGTATATTATGTTAAAAGTTTATGTTTATTATGTATTATGTTAGATTATGTGTATTATCTTTTAAAAAGAGTATGTATATTTTGTTATATAATTATGTACATTCATGTATAACATTATGTGTATTCTAGTATAACATTATGTACATTCTTGAACCGCGGGTTTTTTTAGAAAAAACTACTGCCATTCACTGGGGCGGGAAATTTCAAAAAAAAAAATAATTAAAACGACGTCGTTTTGCATCTGGGCGCATAGTGCAACGCGCGCCGTGGTGTAGGATATAAATTGCCTCGAGTTCTAACTAAGATTGACATCCTTACCCTTCTCTCATCTTCTCTAATTCTCTCAACCTCAAATCCTAACCATATCAATCTTCGAGTTTGTCTCTCAAAGTCTTACCCTTAAGAGTTGAGACTCTTTCATATTTGTAGAAGCCTCATTTATGGTGGTTCGTGGTCCTAAATCTTGAACCCGGTGAGAGGTTGTGGCTTGAAGAGTTGAAACTCTAATTTTGATGGAAGCCTAAAGCCCCAAATTAACTCCAAAGTTGAAAGAAGATATACCGTAAAACTTAGTTTTGATTTTATATTCTAATGTTCTTATTGTGATTAATTTCTGATTTTCTTGTGTTAGTGGAAACCATATGCATCACCATAAGTTGTCAATTGAACTTATTTTGAAAATCCTAGTTTTGATTTCTTAAATTTCTAATTGGAATTGGGTATGATATATGCCATATAAGCTAGTATTGATTTTATGTTCTACTTTGAATAATTTATGATTTTTTTTTTTTTTTTGTTGTTGGTTGTGGAAGCCATGTGCATCATTATATGTGTTAATTGCACTTTTTTGATTGTATGTTATATTCTCCCTACTAAATATACTAATACACATCTTTGAAAGTCAACCCCATCCATTCTCAAGTGAGGAACATGAAGTGAAAGTCAATCCCATCCATTCTCAAGTGAGGAACATGAAGTGAAAGCCCAAGCTATAGAAAGAAATACATCTTAGTAGTTTATGCCTCATCCTCCAATTGTTTCTACAAAGAAAATGAAAGAGATTGAAATCAAATCAGAAGTATGTAGTTACTTTGAGAAAATCAGAAACAATGAGGGTATGGTCATTAAAGGAAAACACATTTACTGTCCTTGTTACCTCACATAAGCGGAAATACATAACTAAAGCATTAAAGATAGGCCCAAAATGAAAAGAAATGGCATCCGTTTTCCGCCGTTCCGCACCCTTCCGCAAAGAATAACTTGGTACAGTTTCATTTCGATATAACTACAGTTTCATTCGATATTTATAGACTCAAATATGTGAAAATGTTATTTAATTTTATTTTATATACACTATAGTTTTATTAAAACACAACTACATGATAATTTTGATATAATTACAGCTTCATTGTACAATATACACTCAAATATGTGAAATGTTATTCAGTTTCATTTTATATACACTGCAATTTCATTTCACCACAACTACAGTATCATTTTGATATAACTGCAGTTTCATTTGATAATATAAAAATAATACGTGAGGTAGTGTCGGTTTAGATATACTGTAGTGTCAGTTGGTGTTTAATACACCAAACATGTGGACTCCGTTAACAATAACGGCAGGCCGTTTCTTTACTTAAAAAAACGGCGCCGTTTTTTACTGCGGTACACGATATAACGACTAAATAAAAAGTTGTCTTGTCCATGGGTTTCAATAATCCCCCTAAAGCCAATTAAGTACCAGATCTCCATTTCTTGACCAAATTGACCTTGGACTTAAGCTCCATTCCTCCATCAATCCCCTTCACCTCTCAAATTTGGACTACTAACCATCATTTGTCACATCAAAATAAAAATAAAAATCTTAACTCTACTTAAGATACCTAGTTATAAAAAGAAATTGAAATTCTTAAAGGGTAAGAAATGATTACAAGAAAGAAGGGACTTGAATGATTAAAAATAAAATGTTGTAATTCATCTGTCCATAAAAAAAATTGCATCCTTAATATATTGAGTTAGTCAAATAAATTTATCTCTTCATATAGATACAATAACATTAATAAATTTATTATTGAAGTACCTTTTAAATAATAATTACGTATTGGATTCTTAAATAATTTAGTAAGGTGAATTAATTGTATACTTAGTTTCGAACTCACCATTGTCTTTAATAAGATACACGAACAAATAAAAAATAAATAAAAAAAAAATTAAGTGAAAATTAAACATGTGATATGACAATATTAATTTGGTTGAAGCTAAAAATGAAAATAATTCTTGCAAAGGACTATTGAGTTGTTGCAGCCTACTCATATGTCCTTTCCTCATGGATTGGCATAAATATTATATTGAACTAACCATCTCCTGTCCTTTCTTTATGGATTGGAATAATGAATAGATTAACTTGGACTAGATAATTAAGGAAATAATTTAGAATGGTGATGAATCTTATATTTTTAAGAGTAATGTTATATATTATTGTTGTGATTTTAAAAAGGATATGATAACCAAAGAGCCCCATGATTAAGTGTGTTTGACTTATAAAACTGGTCTCAATTAAGGCTCATTGCAACCCAATGTTGCAAAAAAGTTAGGCGCCCCCTAGGCGGCAAGGGGGCGCCTAACGCCTAGGCGCCGATTTTTTTATTTTTTATTTAATTTTTTTTTATTTTTTAATAAAAAATAAAATTAAAAATTAAAAATTCTTAAAATTTAGTAATAAAACATAAAATTTCCATAGTTATTTCTTAGAAATTATTTACGAAAGTGGTTGTAAAATTGTTCAAAACATTGTTTAAATCATCTAAATACATAAAAACTAAAATTAAGAGCCAAAGAAGCATTTTTTTGAAAAATTAGTGGACCAAACCGCCTTTGGCTGTTTGCGGTGTATAAATCTCGAAAAAATACGCGATTTGAAAAAAAAATTGTCCAAAGCGGATAACCGAGTCAAAAGTTATTCCTCCCACCGCCTGATTTTTGCAACACTTTTTTTTTCCCTGTCGAAACACAGTGACGAATCCAAGGCTACTCCATTCCCAAAGCCAAGGATTGAACTCTTGACCTTTGGTTAAAGATGGATGAGTCCCTTCCACTCAACCACACCCTCCAGGTTAACCATACACATTGTATAAACCCCGCATTCACATTTCACATCATTCTTCCATTCACAATATTCATTAACATTCAATACAATCCTACAAGCCAAAAGAAATGTTGTTAAGACAAGAGCTGTATTTCCTTAAGAGTGTAGTAATAAAGAAGAGCAATCAGAGCTACATGGATTACATTGAAGAGGTGAATGCTGGCATTAACACTAACAAAAAATAACCGGAAAGTGGGCATACACAGTTTACAGTTATGAGAAGAACCTATACCTTATAATACAGATGCCGTGATTAGTGCTGTGATCTAAGCCTTTCACATCTATATTACATAAGGCGGGTGGTCAAGAGGAGCAGTGTCTCCTATGGCTAACTCTCTTCAGAATACAAAGCCGCAAACGCTGGCTAAGTGCCTCCAGCTTCTCGAACTTTTCCCGTCTAGATTTCTTTGTGGGCGTTTCAGCTTTCTTCTTTTTCTTTTTATCTCTCGAAGACTCCAATATGCTTTCTTGGATATTCCGAAGAGGCGTCGCAAGGATCTCCAATGGCGTCTGGAATTTAAATATAAGCAACTTAACCAACAATACTAGCTTCTAATACTACCCGATACACTGAAATTTAGAACATCTTCAAGCTATGTCATGACACAAAATCACCACCTCTCATGGCTTAATCAGAGCTCAACAGGCTAGGTCTATAGAAGAATGGTCACATCACATTAGGTGTTTACTTCAAGTTATATAACATTATTACTTATTAGGGTAATGTGAGCATGGTTATCTTATACCGAGTAGGGGTGTAAACGAGTCGAGCCGAGCTTGAGCCTGGGTTGGCTCGAGCTCGAGCTCATTAAGAAAGGCTCGGCTCGAGCTCGAGCTCGACAATTTTCAAACAAGACCTAATACTTCATATATCCGCCTCATTTACTTTTCAATCACCAAAACAAATTTCCATAAAGCTCTATAAAAAGAGGAAATCAGAAGGGGGGAGAAAAAAAAAGAAGAAATTGATTGCAACTGTTCAGATAAATAGCAGGTCTGCATTTAAATCAGAGAAGGGGAGTAAAGAGCAAAGGACCTGATGGTCGTTAATAACACATGCATTGTCTGAGCAACGCTCATTATCACTTCCAAGAGATGAGCATCTTCCCCAACTCTCTCTATTTGAGCTTGTGTAGGAGCAACAATCCTCGTTCTGACTACTAGCCTTGTCCTG